AGACCAACACATTGATAGTTCAACTTTGAGGCATTCAAGTCAGGCTCAAATTGAATATAGGACCCGACTAAATGCATCTCTTGATTCTGTTCGGTATCTTTTGTGACAAGGATTAGCTTCATGTGGACATAATGATTCTTTGAATTTTGAAAACAGAGGTTAGTTTTTAGAGCTTTTGCAAGTTGCCAATAATTGTGAGGAGATAAAAAAAATTGTTCTAGAAAATGTTTCAGAATCTATAGATGACATCACCAGATACTCAGAAGGATATTGTGAGGGCTGCTATAATAGAAATCAGAAATAAAATCATCACAGATACTGGCAATGAACATTTTGCTATTTTAGTGGACAAGTGCCGAGATGTATCAGTTAAAGAGTAGATGATAGTTGTCTTGCGTTATGTGGACAAGCATGGGCAAAGAATTGAGCATTTTTGGGAGAATTTACATGTTCAAGATACTAGTTCCAAATTACCGAAGACAACTATAGTTCCAAATTACCGAAGACAACTATTGAAACCATTAAAGACAATTATTGATGGTATGTCTTCTAGACATGGACTAAGCATATCAAAATTGTGAGGACAAGGATATGATGTGAGGACTAACATGTGGGGTTAAATCAATGGTCTTAAAGCTCGTCTTGAATGAAAATAAATCCGTTTTTTATATCCATTGCTTTGCTCACCAGCTTCAGTTGGCATTAGTAGTTGCTAAAAATCATCTAAAGATGAAAGTGGTATTCACAGTCATTACGAATATATCCAATATTGTTGGGACTTCTGTCAAACATCATGATGTTCTTCGAGAAGTGCAAACTGTTGAGATTTATAAAGCGCTTGAAGGTGGTAAACTATAAAACTGGGAGAGGTTTGAATCAAGAAAGGGACTTAAGAGAGCTGGTGCCACATGTTGGGACTCTCGTTTTCATTCAGTAGTAAACTTAATTGGTACATACTTATCTGTGATTGTCACACTTGAGAGCATAGAGAATATACATATGCTAAAAGAAGACAAGTGACGTTGGTATTACAAATGATGCAAACTTTTGAATTTGCTAATTCGATCCATTTGAAGATGAATGTGTTGGGGATTACTCATGAATAGTCATCAGCATTACAAAGGAAAGATTAAGATACCCTGAATGTTATGGATCTTGCGTAAACATCTACGCAGCAATTTCAAGAAATGAAATGTGATGATTGGGATTCTTTCTTGAAGATGTTTCTCAAATCTGTACTAAACATGATGTTGAGGTCCCAAATATGAATAAGATATTTGCGTCTGAAGGGAGATCGTGGCGCCATGCTTAGAGCTTTACCAATTTGCATCATTATCACAGAGTTGTTCAACACAGTTATCGATTTACAAGTTCAAGAGCTGAACAATCGGTTCACAGAGGCAAATACAAAGTTAGTTCTTTGCGTAGCATGCTTAAATCCTACTTTTTTTTTTTGGGTGCATTCAGCAAGCAAAAGTTAATTCATTTTACTGAGTTTTATCCTCTTGATTTTTCACCATTGGATCTTGTGATTTTTGACAATCAATTAGAGACATTCATCCATGATGCGGCACTCCAATAATGAGTTTCTATACTTGAATGAAATTTCAAGTCTCGCAGAAAAAATGATGGAGATGAAGAAGGATGACGTCTATCTCTTTGTTTACAAGCTTGTAAAGATCACATTGATTGCAAAACCAACCGTTTTAAACATTTAATTGCAAAAAACGACCGTTTTCGATAATAATTGCAAAAACCGACAAAAAATGATGGAGATGAAGAAGGATGACGTCTATCTCTTTGTTTACAAGCTTGTAAAGATCACATTGATCTTGCCCGTTGCGATTGCAAGTATTCAGAGGCTATTTTAATCATTGAATATTCTGAAACATAAATTGCATAATCAAATGGGAGATCAATGGATGAACGATTGCTTAGTAATATAAATAGAATGAGGCAATCATGCATCGATTTCAAGGAATGACAGGCGCAGTTTATAAATGTCATCTTGAAGATTAAAGTCACTATTTGTTCAGGTGTTGATTATATTAATTCTAACAATACTTTTTAATTTGGAACTACTGTTTTTTTTTGTAAACAATCATTTTATATATAATATTTGGTTGAGTTTTTGGGCTTGAGAGTTGAGAACCTATCCTCTCTCTCAAAAAATGTGATTATACATATAATTGCTTTTGCAAGTGAAGATATAAAAGTGTCCCCTCAAGCACCAATTCCTGGCTATGCCACTGTATGCATTCAAACAATACCTATCATATCCATATTTTAGAAAGATGTATCTTTAGGGGTTGTTTGGTTGTATGTCTTTACCATGTAAAAGAATGGAAAGTGTAAAAAAGTGGGTCTCAATGTCAGCTTTCATCACTTTCAATTGTTTGTTTATAGTTGTGAAAATAGTGTAAAGTGATTTTATATGCTGATGTGGTTTGTAAAGTGATTTCATAAAAAAAAACATGCTTTTAGGAAAAAGCTGACATTGAAGTCAGGAAAAAATAATAAAAAATAATTCCAACCAATATGATCATTTGAGTAGGGACCATTTTTTACACTTTTCAAACAAACAATTAAAGTTACATTTGCAAACCAAACAAGCAATTTATGATTCCAATGGAATCAAAAACAAACAAAGAAAAGTATAAAAGTAAAATTGATGAGGTGGACAACAACTTTCTAAGTTGTATCATAAGGGGTTGTTTGGTTCGCTATTATAAGGGGTGGAAAACTCAGAAAACCCCTCCACGTCAGATTTTTAGCCCTCCACGTCAGTTTTTTTGTTTTCGTCCATTTCTTTGTGCCGCTTTGGTTCGCTCGAATGGAAAAGGGAAAACTCTGCTGAAATCGCCGCCAACTAAGATTTTTTTCCCTCTCCGATTTTCTTCCCCAACCAAGTGAAATTGATGAAAACTCTGCAACATCAGATTTTTTTTCCTTCTCTGTTTTGTTTACAAAAGTTTTCCTTTTTTTTTCTATGCGAACCAAACACAAGAAAAATAAATACATTGGTTTCCCACCATTTTTTATATGCGAATCAAAGCAAAACAATCTATTTCTTAGAAAAGTTTAGAAAACTCAAAACTTGTATTTCTTTACATGGAATTGCATTTCTCTATATCAAGGAAACGAACCAAACAGCCCCTAAATACACAACTTTACCAACAACAACCAAACAGCCCCAGGTTACTCATATAAGGTTGTCTCATAATTTTAACTTATTTCCAATAAAGTTCAGAATTTGAGGTTTCCCAACGGAAAATAAAGATCAAGACTGCCATGCAACTAAATCAAAGCCCCTCCCTGGCCTCCCAAACTAAACCTCTAAAACAAAAAAGCGTAAACCTCAATTCCACAGAAAACCCCATAATCCCCACCCAATTCAACACTTAAAACGTCAAAATCTCACAAGATATCCAAAGATCTCGAAAGCTCACATCGAAAAATCATTCACTAACCTCGTAGGCAGCGAGAATCTGCAGGAATCGGTGAGAGGATCTCGAGACATCAGGATGAGTCTCTTTCGCGAGCTTTCGAAACGAGGCCTTGATCTCGGCGAAGGAGCTGCTCTCTGAGACCCCGAGCACTTCGTAGGCGCTCTCGCCTGAGATCGAGGACTTGCTAGGGTTCTCAGCTCTACTAGCTGTGCTCAGTTTTCTGATGCCGATGTTTTTATTACTGAAGAAGAGGAAGTGGACTGAGAATCCCATCGCTGAGAAGTCGAGGGAGATGACCTGAGACCGATGAGGAGCGGACTCAGCTCTTGAGTCCGAGGTAGTAGACACGTGGCTGCTTTTGAGTCCGAGTCACTGAAATCTGGATCTTTGAAGATGATGGGCTGGGCTTTACTGTACAACCCATAGAAAGAGTTCAAACGAGAATTCTCGCGACCCGGTAAGTATATATAAGCTGCGGGATTTTGTATAAAAAATATATTATAAGCTATTTTATTAGAGAAAAAATGCATCTAGGTCTTTTATTCAATTACTAGTTGAGATGCATGTGCAATGCACGTAGTTGAATATCATGATTATGTAAATTGATAAAAATAGAATAAAAATAAAATAAAATAAAGTTTTTTTGCGGGATTGATGATCAAGTCAATAATCACTCTTTCAAATAAAATATTGTCATTGTTTTCTTCAACCCAGACTGTCTTCACGTGATCTACTATTTGTGAGTTATAAACACATTGATCTAGTATAACATCTCTATTTATTAGTATGTTAAAGGCTTCAAAAGATGGGTGATCATTCAATTCGCAAAGAAATTTTACATATTAATTTACTTACAATATGTCCATTAAACTTTTAGTTGTGGTTTAACTCATATTCGCATTAACTTTTAGTTATGGTTTCATTCATATTTACATTATCTAATATTCTTATTCAATTTTATAACTCATTTTTCGTACCATAGAAGTAAAACTGAAAGTATGAAAATTTATTTTCTTGTGAAATTATAGTAGGGAGATTATGATATGTTTCGTTATGTGCTATAAATATAAAAAAATCCTACGATGCAAGGTCTCTATCAAATCTTGCCCCAAACAATGTGAATGAAAAATGCTATTATAACTCACTTGTCTAGGTTTGTATTGTATATAGGTCATATACAATAGTCCCGTGTATTTTATGGTTCTGACTGCAAAATACGCAAGAGTAGTAGTCCCGTGTATTTTCTGACTTTAATTACTTTTGTAATTAATGTTCGCTAATTACACAGGACTATTATTCTCGTGTATTTTGAAGATGATTTTTTGCAAAGTCGATCTTTTTTTTGCCAGTCTTGATGATGTGGCAAAAAAGAGATCAATTTTGTTAATTATTACGTAAAATAGTCGCTTTTGCTAATACTTTTATAAAGTGATCTTTTTAAAAATTCTCCTAAAATAAAATATTAATTTAAGATATGAAATGGGCAAAACCTAAACATTCTGGTGATTAAGTGACCATAAATAGGGAAAAATAATAATTAAAATAAAAGTATATTTAAATTGAATCTAACAAGGCATTTCACAGAATGAAGCATGAAATAGATCCAATAAATTATTAAAAAAGATTTAAAGAAACTAATTTAAAAAAATATGAGATCGAGGGATAGAGGGAGAGAATACCTCATCGACATGAATTCTATTTCTCCCCAAACATGACAGCAAAATTGGTGGAGAATGAGCAAGGAGAAAATGAAAGTACCCTAATGCCACTAGGAAAGAACCCTAGAGGGGGGTGAATAAGGTTTATACTAATCTAATCCGATTTATGCCAAATTAAAACTTATTAACAAATATATCCTAGCAAGAATGATATATTACAAATATATGTGCAAGGATATATAAATAACACAAGGGTAAACAATATAGTGGATGAAATAAACAAGATGCAATAGGCGATATAAGCAACGAGCACAAGTATAAATGAACGCCAATGCAACTCAAACACAATCAAATGATCACGGAGTTCAGACCTTCCGTCCTACGTCTCCGCTCCTCACTCTCGGGGAGAAATTCACTATCACACCGGGTTTTCAACTATCACCCGAAAACGTTTACACCACACAATATCGGTTTTCAACGCTCACCGATCAACGTCCACAATCTCATAATGTAATTATACTAACTATCACCTCAAGTGTTGGTCTCTAGCCCGTGTCTTCCTCAAGTGTTAGGAATTACAACCTCTCTCTAGGCATTACCACCTACCCCACTCCTCTTGGGACGACCTCGTCTCTCACCACACACTCCTCTTGGTGTACTAGTGTATTACAAAGTAAACCTCACAATTATAGCTCACAATACAAATAAATTATTCTTTATAATGGATGAGAACACAATGTAAGCTCACTCTTATTGTCACAAACTCACAACCCTAAATTATACTATGAATGTAAATACAATAAGCTCAATAGGTTGTATGTGAACAAAAAGATAAAATAAATCAAACTAAACTCAAATAAATGCTAGCTTATAGAAATAAAAATCAAACATATAAATTAGCTAGATATGAGTTTAGAAAAACTTCTCTAATGATAACAAGAGAGAGGGAGAAGAGTGAATGCTCAAACACCAAAGGATGATCTTCACTTTGCTCTTGTGAAAATTTCTTCACAAACTTGTAAACAAACACTAAACAAACTTTAAAACCCTTGTAAACTTGTTTTAAAAACTTTCTTCTTGTTATAATAGAGCTGGGTATAAGGGGGTATTTATAGGAAACCCCAAAGATCAAGAAATCCCAGCAACAAGACCAAAAAACCAAAACATGACAAAAGCTGAAAAAACTAGCCGTTATGCCATCACTCGACTGACGGCTTCTATCAGTCGACTGATGAGCTGACCGTTAGAGGCATTTTCTAGCTCATCAGTCGACTGACGACCTTATCAGTCGACTGATGATCTCATCAGTCGACTGGTCAGTCAACCAAAACTAAACAGAAACTTTTTGTTATTCCGGGTGATTTCTTCAGTCGATACATCAGTCGACTGATATCATCAGTCGACTGACCAGTCGACTGATAACAGGTTATCAGCCTGTTTTGAAACAAAAATCTGATTTTTAAACCTCTTTTAAAAATAGCAAATAAAATCAGAAAAATGTAAAACTTTGGAAAAGATTACAACTTTCTTGAAAATAAACGCAAGATCCGTTTATCGGCTCTTGCTTGCGTGGGTTCTTTGTCGGTGCCGGGGTTAATCCGTGGACGACCACGAATCAGATCCGGTTGATGGAAAATTGGGCAGAGCTTCTACCTCACCAAGGGGGTATTTGCTTGAAGTCTCTTTTAAAAATAGCAAATAAAATCAGAAAAATGTAAAACTTTGGGAAATGATTGTAAACATGATAATATACATGTTATAAAAACTGGTTTTTAAAAAACACCTCCCAAAAGAAAAATCTCTTCATTTTACAAAATAGTCCAAAACATATAAATGAAAAACACTTGTTTTTGACATTGGACATAAACCATGTTTTGAAACTTTATAAACTGATTTTTAAGACAAAGCCTAATCTCAAGGAACGGACGTACGGGCTTCAGATCCTTCGAACGGCTTCTCCTTTGTACTGAAGTTCGTCGGGATCTCGCTGTCCTTCGCTGAAATTTCGTGCTCCTTCACTCTTCAGTCCGGCAGCACCTCGTCCTCTTGATAAAATTCCAGATCCAGAAAATGGAGGCCTTTGGTTCATATTTATAAAAGTATATATGAAGATATATATTGTTTCATATCTATATAGCTAAACCAAAACATATATGTATATATGTAACTATATATATACAAAAACCAAAATGTGTATGTGTGTATATAATTGAGCTTAAAGGTACTAACACACATAATATAAAACCTAAACTAAATTATCCAAGCTTGATGAAGGTCTTCAATGAGCTCGACTTGGTAAACTTGCGGATGAAGCTTGAACTTGGATCTTCAACTTGAATTGCATGGCTTCACTCCACTATTCTGCCAACCTCCATTAGATATGATCGTGAATGCTCGATTCCATCTATCCTCCAACATCGTTGTTTGTCTAGAATACCTAATAAGAAACACAAACACTAGACAAACAATATTAGGAATTGTTTGTAACTTTAGACTGCGCAGCAGGACGATCTGACCCGCGCTCGCGCGGGTCGGAATAATCCGACCCGCGCTTGCACGGGTCAGAATGATCCGACCCGCACTTGTGCGGGTCGGAATCATCCGACCCGCGCTTGTGCGGGTTGGAATAATCCGACCCGCGCTTGCGCGGGTCGGATCATTCCGTCCTGCGCTTAGCGCGGGTTCGCCGACTTTTTAGGAATTGTTTGTAATCATCAAAACAAGATTAGAAGATGTAGGCTCATAACATGAGACCTAATAATCTCCCACTTTTTGATGATGATAAACAATCTACACAAAGAGTATATAAGATAAGCAATAAAGCACAATACTCTTAAAATATACTCACGATCCACTTGTTTTTCCCCCTTTGGCAACATCAAAATGGGGAAACAAAAGAATAAGAGAGCGAAAGCTCCCCCTACAAATAAGCATGGTGAGTATAAAACAAATATAGGGAATGGCTCTCCCTATCAAAATGCCTTATGGAATATTGTTGGACCCTAGAGGGGGGTGATTAGGGTCAAGAGGCTCTAATATGCAATAAAAATTAAACACAAGCAAATCACAAAACAGAAATGCAATCAAAGTAAGAGAGATAGAGTTAGGAATCGTTATCCTTGACGCGCGATGTGTTAACGAGGTTCGGCCCGCTGACCTACGTCCCCGCTCCCCACTCTCGAGGAGAAATCCACTACACACCCGGTTTGGAAGCCGGAACTTCGTCTACACAGTGATCCCACACGATCTCTCACTACACAGTTTGATCTCAACAGATCACACTCCCACACAGTTGATCTACACAAGATCTCACTCACACAGTAGAAGAAAAGATGCAAGACTTGTTGGCCTCTTTGTTTTGATGATGTTTAACAAACAATTTACCACTAATGTTGTTTGTCTAGTATTTGTGTTTTCTTATTTATTATAGACAAACAACGTAGTTGGAGGATGGATGTAATAGCGCTTCAACGACGATATCAAATGGAGGTTGGCGGAATTGTGGAGTGAAGCAACATACAATTCAAGTTAAAGATCAAGTTCAAGCTTCATCCGCAAAGTGTACCAAGTCAAGCTTATTGAAGATCAAGATCGGCTTGGGTAATCTAGTTTCGGTTTTATATTATGTGTGTTAAGTACCTTAAGCTCAATATCATATACACACACGTATTTGGTTTCTATGTATATATATAGTTATATATATACATGCATAGTTTTGGGTTTT